AGGAAAAGGAAATAAAGACAGTTTCTTGCTTTGTTTTCGTGGGGAGTGGGGCTGTCTCAAGAAGCTTGCAATTTACATGAAGTCAATTGTAGATGTAGTCAAAAACACACTGGAGACCCAAAAGATGTTTGTTGATTTTTTTTTTTAATTGGGTGAGTAAAGGCATCAAATGATGGTGTAATGCTGAAGTGTGGATTAGTATTTGAGCCTCCTGGCATTAATGGATTTTTAAGAGGAATTTGAATCACGTGAGGGAGGAATGAGATAAGGTAGGCCATTCCAGTTGTGGGGAAGCAGGCTGGAGAAGATAAAAGCAGAAATGTTGGTATGGGGCAGAACTGTGTAGTCTTTAAGGTGGGGAAGAGAAACTTAAACGTTATTCATTAGGCAATGAGGAGTCAGTGGAGAGATTCAAAGAGGAGAGTGAGAAGGTCCAAGTGATAGGCATGAAATATGATTTCAGCTGAAACACTCTGAAAGGACGGGAGTGAAGAGAGATGGGAAATATATTTCTCCAGAGAGGAGGAAGTTGCATAACCCAGGTGGGAGAGAGACATCAAGGCCATGGCCAGTGTCTTAGCTGTGGGGGCAAAAATCTGTTGTGTAAAAAAGAAACAGCAGGGTTTGGCAATAGCAAGAAACAGAAGGGAGGAGGATTCAAAAATGTAGCCTAGGGATTCGAGCCTTGGGGAAGTGAGAATGTTAGTGTCTCAACATGAGTGGCAAGGGATGAGGGAAGGATAAAGAGGGTGGGTGTCAAAACCCCCCTAGAATTCAGCAGGACCATAATTGGGGCCTCTTTTACTAACTGGGTTAAATTTTAGCTCCCTGCATTGAATCATATTTTAGAAAATACTGTAACCATAGAAATAAACACATCCATTTACCACAGTCCTAAATGCATTTCTGTTCAACCCAGGGCCAGATTCTGCTCTCTGCTAGGACAGAGTGGAGAATGGAGTTTTCCCATTATCTTTAGTGGACTTACTCCAGATTTACACTGGAATGAATGAGATGAGAATCTGACCATGAGTTTGTAAATTAAAAACAGTAATAATTGGTTCTTAGGATAAAAGGTTGTGTCACAGCAAGAGTGTGTTTCATTTATGGTTAATCTCAGAGGATGAACAAGAGGAAGATAACGCTTGTAAATGTTGAGCCCTGAGCTTTTTATCATGCGAATATTTTGTTCAATGGATCCCAGTCCTAGGGGCTGTTACATTGCTCTTAGATACCAGTATGTATCATTCCTGGTATGGTGGGTCCTCTCTTTCCTCTTTTTAAAATATTGTTCTGATCCAAATGGCAAGTGTTCCTTTTGACAGAAAACAACCCCTTCCTACATATTCTTTGTAGTGCTATCTAAAAGCATCATCAATAAGGAGACATTCCCAGTTGTTTGGCCATATCATGTTGGTCCATCAGAGAAATAATTAAAAGCCTTTTGGCGCTGGAGAAATTATAGATGTCAGGCTTTAAAGTGAGGCTCTCCAAATGTAGCCACTTAACTAACTGGCTTGCATTTAGAACAGATCAATGTATGTGTTGCAGGAAAGCAATGTTTGCGTTTCAATTAAGGAACTTTGCTTGGTCCAGAAAACATGGTTAATAAATCAAAGGCATTTGAATTAAAAACAAACAAACAAACAAACAAAAAAACCTGTCATGTCCCTTATTACTCTCTATGGCTGTCCGACACTTTACATTCTTACTGAGAGTCTCACTCTGATTTGTTTTAATTATGGTATTAATTCACCAGGATGTAAAATTTGCTTGCTAGGAGTCCATTTTTATAACTGCACAGTGGGTTCTTGTCTTTTGTTATTTGCCTGTCTTTGCTAGGTAGTCATTCTTGTCCAGGGTAAGTGAAGCTATCCAGGGTAAGAGTAAGAGAAGACACACTTCTTCAGATGAACTTCAGCATAATAGAGCCAGGCTTTTTGGGAGCAGATAAATGTTGCAATTAGAATGACAAAATTAGTTCAGATTTGATGCGGTTACATTCTGCCATTGAGCCTGAATCTCAAGTTCTGCCAGTCTCTTGATTTACACCTGTGTCAGTGAGTAGAAAATTAAGTATGCCGTTCTTCAATTCCACTATATTAAAATATTCTGTATGGTTTTTAATATTCCTAAAAAATAACTCCAGTGTAATAGATATAACATGATCTAATGCCTCCTGGAAATATGAATCCCACCCAGGTACAGAGGGGAGAATGGAGCCTTTAGTATGAGCTGACCAAAATGTTTTGTTTCTAAACAAAATGTAGCAGAAACTCTGGGGTTATATTTTCCACTTGGAGTACAGGGAGATAAGCGCAGCTCCCATATTGTTAATGGGAGTTCAAGTCTCTGATACTTTCTGCATATTACACTGAAAAGATACGCCTTCATGTTTTATTGGCTGAAGAGAAACAGAAAGAGTGGTTATCCCTGGTTCCTTTAGGATCTCCATGCCGAGCTGTTGGACATATTCTCCTAGACTGACCCTTTGCAGGATGTCATGGTGAATTCTTTTGTACAGTTTTTTTTTCTTTTTCATGGAATATATACTGTTTGTAGACTTGGGGGAGAAAAAAGGAACCTGTGGTAACATTGTATTTTCTATAGCATGGGGAAGGAAATTGGTTATGGTTAGGAGTGGTATCATCAGCAACATAGCAAAGTGTCATGGCCAAAGGTAAGGCATCATGGATGACAAAGACCCAACCCTACATCATTCATTCAGGAAAGTCAAATTACCGTGGAATTAATCTTTTTGGTGTAAATAGCTTTCCTTCCTTTCCATGATCCTGCATTTCTGATACAAATAATTTTCAACAATAAAAGTGAAAGGACACCACATTTGTGTGCAATGGAAGTAATCTGGGGACTAAAAATGATGGACTTGAAATAAGGGACACTTGTAATAGTAGTGGTATTTATATTTTGATAGCACCCAGAGTCCTGAATCTGGATCGGAGGCTTATTTTGCTAAGCGCTGTAGAAACACAAGAAGCCATGGTCAGCATTAGCTAACCTGTAAAAATCTTATGGATTTCTGGAAAGGACAGTGGTACACAGATGCAGGCATTAACTGCAACCCAGGCTGACTCCTTCCAACAGCAAGCATATTGACCACTACATGGCAGTGGAAGGGAAGATAATATGCCTGGTTATTCTTGTCTGGTGTTACACCTGTGTAATTCCATTGATTTCAGTGGAGTTACTGCTGCTTTTGCAATGGTGTAATTGAGAGCTAGAAGTCTTCAGACCCTGTGTTGGTGCAGCATAGTTTTTCCTGTTTCTATTGTACTTCCTTTGATTTTTGTTGCTATGGTACATAGCGACTGAAATGTGTATCCTGCCTTGTTATAACAAGATCCTTTGCTCTCAAAAATGCCCTCACACAAGGTGTATTTACTGGTTCTCCGCTTATATCCTCCCCCTTTTTGTAGCTAAATCTGTATGAGTAGTGTCAGATGCAAATTTCAATACCATGAGTTAATTTTTGGCTGTTTCTTTCTGCCTGCCTGCTTTTGTAAATCAGTTTTTCAGCTATAATATAGATAGTATGTTTCGTAATGTTCACATCTTAGCAAAACAGTATTTCTTTATAAACATTTTGAATACAGTTTCCTACAGCACAGAGGTTTCTTAAAACACTAGGCTATTGTATGTCAGGGAGACTTTTGCCATATTTTTATGCATCTAAAGTCAAGAGAAGGCATGCCATACTTAACTTGTTTGACCTGTAATGTATACAAGAAATGGAGAGAACTTGACTGCATGTTAAAATGACCTAGTAGCCCAGCTAATTTCTTTTATGCCTTAAATTAGGTTACTGACATTCATAATGCATAGAACCTTGCTTGTTGAGCAATTCAGCATCATATTTGCAGAGGTACAACTATACCAACTGGTATTACACTCAGTGATTTATTTGCACTGGGGAAGCCAAGAAAATTCTGCATCTCTATCTTAAAAGTGTATTTTCCATGGTTCTAAATGATCAAGAACTTTCCAGCTAGAAGTATATTTTCCCCTTCCTCTTTATATAACTATGATGATTAAATGATCATTTGCTATATATATTGGGACATGCTGTTTACCTTGGTCTGCAACTTGAAGACCTTTCTGTGGCTTCCCTAATCTGATCTAGGAATTTCAAAAATAAATCACTAATTATATTCATAGAAAAGGTCTCCTTCCTTAGCTCCCCGAGCCTGTAGATCTAAGTATGCCATAAAGTACCAGTTTGTATAGAGTATGCTTTGGAGTTGGACCTACCTTACTCTTAATATAATATGCTAGAATGTGCAATGTCTGCTTGCACACACAAAGGTAATTAATTAACCTGCATGCAAAAATTAACCCTTAGAGTACTGCTTCAAATTCCACAATTTTGTTGTTTAATTTTTACTTGTGGGCTATACTGCTTTCCTACTCAGGTCATAGTACTGTACATAAAGTATGTGTCTAGACATGTAAAAAAAATCTCTTTATGAAAACAAGGAATCCTATCAATACAAACTCCCCCAGGTTGCTAATGGGTGATGTATTCATAAGCAACTACAGTTTTTAAGGTTTTACATTATGACATTAATTTAAAATGTTTAATGTTTCAGTGTAATTGTGTGCCTGTTAGATTTAGTTCCTAAACTTTATAGTTGTGTATCCAATAAAAAGTCAGTTCTTTAAGGGTTAATGTGGAGTTAGGGGATCCCAAGGTATTCTCCTGCTTGTCTTTCCTTAAGATGTCTGCATGTTTCTTTTCAGGTAGTTACCTGAACATGTGAACACTGGGAATGAATGAATGAGTGACTAACTGAATGAATTAAATGTTCTTTTTGGAAATGCCTGCTTGTACTTTGCGGGGGGTGGAAAAACAAAATGGTAGCTCCTAAATTCAGGCCTTTATCAAAACAAAGTGGGGGGAAAAGAAAAAAAAAAAGTATTTTTGACATTTTCCACGCACTCTGATGCCACCAGTTTATTCGATTTCTTTTTCTTTCAAATAGCCCAATAGAATCCTGCCAGAATTTCTACAAAGATTTCACGTTACAGATAGACATGGCTTTTAACGTGTTCTTCCTACTCTACTTCGGCTTGCGTGTAAGTACCTTGAATTATGTCGTGTGGTTCAGGGGAGGGAATGCAATGATTGTACTCAGAGTTTATTTGACAGCTGCCTCACTGTTCATTTGCCATTGATGCAAGAAATTAACGTGGTTTCTGAGACCTGTAAGTAAAGATTTTGGCTGAGGGCTGAGAGCCTCTAAGTAACAGTGGTGAGGGGACTGGGTAAGGGGATTGCAATTGACAACCTAGACTATTGCCAATCTACCATCATCTGATACTGCTCAGTGGCCTGTGTGGAATTTGGTCTCAGTCCAATTCGCAATGGACTGATGTCTACATCACAAAAATGCCACAATAACTGGCATTAAACACCCACCCTTGGCAATCTCAGGCTGATTGAACTACCCTTTTGCTCCTCAATGTGTTTGCTCCAGTTCAAGTTTCAGGTCAGTGAGGTAGCATGGGGAAGTTCACTGCTGCATCCTGTGTCTGCAAGGCTGTCAAGCTAGCACCAGTCTGAAGTGCTAAGTTCTTAGAGAAAATTTTATTTTGAAAATGTATCATTGGTCTCTTCTCCCCACTTTCTTCAAACCAGGTCTCTTTAATGGGAATCAGGTTTGGCATCCAAAAATCAAAGTACCTAAAATCACTAGTCATTTAAATAAATATTTGGGTCAATTGTACCCATAATGCATGTTGGTTTTTTTGGCTAAATTGAGGGGAATGGGCTATGCACTAGAAATTAACGTTACTGTTGCTAGCTGGGAGAGCAGGAGCAGTGGAAGTTTTCAAGGACCACATGGCCACTAATGCTGATGGGAGAACCTGAAAAGGTTAGAAGGTCTGCAAAATGGCTGGAAATCTTTTAAACATGCTGTGATGAGCTTTCCTCTATATCCTGTTTGTGGTTCACACAGTGTTTTGGTATTTTGGCACTTCTGCTTTTGTTTCTTCTCAGAACCTGGAAGTGCAGCACTGTTTGAGAATAAAAAGTTAAGAAAAAGTTTACCAACATTTTAGGAACCAGTAAAAAATGTGGTTTGTGATTTGAACAAAAGGTCTGGGTTGGTTGTTATTTTATCTGATCAGTTTGACCTGGGCTAGATACAGTCATTAGCCCTTTGATAAATAGATTAGATCATCTCAGTATTTGCAGTATTATCTATGCTTCCCATATTCTGTATCACAAATACATAATATAATGTATTCCAAATACTAAGATATGGTTATTTTAGGTTTTTAAACGTGACCACTATGCCATCGAGATATTCTGACTCCTTGTCAGAACAGATTCAATACACAGTACCTGTAATTTGCCAGCAACTACAAATTCAGAGGTGTCCTAATCTCTTTTTAGGTCTGTGACACATTTTGCACACAGAGAATCATTTATGCATGTATTACCCATGCTGATTTACACTGAGTATGGAATAAGTTTTTACTCAACTTGAGTAAGGTGGCAGAATTGGCTCAGTAGTGAATTTGCTAGATATATAACAATTATTTCCTACCTGAAGTTCTTTCAGTATAGTCTGACAGACTAAAGTGCTTTTGTGAAGACTTACTGGCAAGTTAAGTTATTTGAAGAAACATTATTTAACTGTACCCTTCTCCATCTCTTTCCCCTGAAATAATGAAATGCAACTCACAATCATATAAATATTCCTATATCTGCAGCTCTAGAAGATGTGTGTCCAACCACATGCATGTATCCTATGTAAATTCTTAGTCAGCTAGCATCCAAGTTTGCTGCAACAGAGAAATAGAAGCTCTCAAACTACTAATGAAGACAAAACACAAATTAAATGAATTACCAGATAGTCAGGCAATAAGGCATGATAGAGCTATGGTTTTCAAGAGCTAATCACGGCTTTGGGAGGCACAAAATATTGCCAAGTACCTCACTGATGGCATGCAAACACTTGAAGCATGATAAGGATTACCCCCAGGAGTTTATCCTGCTGCATTTATGGAATTTGTTTGAGAGTTATTAATTATTTAAATGAATTACCTTCACCATACTTTCACAGCATTTGTATTCAATACCATTATAGTAAAACCAGGGACTTTTGCAAACAGCAAACTGAATTTGAATGAAGTCTCATTTACAGTTTGACATGATTTCTGAAAGCAAGGGATTTCTGAGTTATGGGAGGCTAAAATTCTGAGAAGAACCAACTCCGTTGTGCCTAAATATTTCTGTGTATATCTTCCTAAAATCTCCCTGTGTCTGGGACACCCCTGCCCAACAGAGTTATGTTGAGTTTTAGCCTAAACTCAGTATCTCCTTGTTATATTTTCATGCCAGACCTTTGATGTTAATTAAGGAATCAGGTGTCTGTTTAATTATTTTAATGTGAGTTCATGAGTATAGAAATATTTTTCATGTTATAAACATGAGGGGCCTTTTTTATGGGTGGGACCTTAATCATATTGTTATTACTACTTGCCCTTTTCTAATAATCTCTCTGGAGTTATAATGCAGTTAGTACACAGCATGTATTACTTTATGTAAAACAAAGTTCTGAAGTGGTCCTGGCAGGTAGTAGTCTTGGGCTTAAGAAATAATTATATGGTAAGGTGTAATATCAGTGATGGTTGGTGGACACTGCTTTTAGCTGAAGTATTAAAGGTACTGCTTTTGTAACTGATAGTCCAGCGTTCAAGAGCTAGCTGGGGTTGATTCCTGATTTCTCTAACTAAATGAAAGAATGTCTTTGATGTACATCTGAGCTTGGTGTCTACCCTTAAACCAATTTTTGCATGGCAGTTCCTAAAAGGGAACATTAAAATAGCCCACATAACACATATGATTCCGCTGAGATCATAAAAATGCCAGGAAAAATTGGGTACCAAACACATGGGTGTGCCAGCTGTCAAATACTCAGAATACTTGAGTGTAGGTGATGGTGGAAATCTGATTCTTTCCCCCCACCTCCCAGTGACATTTTATAAAAAAAAGATTACCTGAAATAGTCTTGCTAAATGCTAAAAGAATGATTTGTTGAATCTGTCTCCTTGCAACAAGTCTGAGAACTCAATGCATAAATGTTCTTCATTTCTCTACTTGATATATGGCCCTCCCATTGTTAATTTAGTGTTGCCAAGTAATGTTGTCAGGTAATAGTTTTATCCTCCAGATAAAACCACTGTCTAGTTATGATTGATCTGAGGACACCAAATGTTGCTCCACTAACTCCTAAAGTAAAACTGGAACTTAATCTTCAGAAAGGAGAATATTGCACACAGATGTATCGACATGCTTATAAATTGATTCTTTCCCCTTTTCTTTTTCTAGTTCATTGCAGCCAATGACAAGCTGTGGTTTTGGCTGGAAGTTAACTCGGTAGTAGATTTCTTCACAGTCCCTCCAGTGTTTGTGTCAGTGTATTTAAACAGAAGTTGGCTTGGTAAGTAAATTGCTTTTCATTTTAATCGCTGATATCAAAACACACACACCGGGCCCAGTTTGACAGAGCAGTTCTTCGTCCTGCACCCCACGTAAGTGAAGAAATGTAACAGATGTTGTCTTTGTGAGCTGTCCATTTCAGCTGACAGGTGGGTTATATTGCATGGGACATTTACCATGTCCATTTTGCTCTTGATACATAAGTGCAATTCTCTAAGAGAGGTTGCGAGAGGTACGGTGTGACTTTTGCATGGCAGTGAACACCAACTTGAAAGGAGAAGCGTCTGAAATTAGGCTGCTTTTTTAAAAGGTAAGTTTGATTTAATTGTCACTGCTCCCAACCTGGGTAGATAATCCAAAGCATTCATTTATAGATCTTCATTGCCATGAATAATCATGGACCTATACAACAATGAAATAAAAAACAGTTAAAACTTGAACTGATCTGGCCCAACTCAGTTGAACAATGGGAAAGATTCCAATGTTATTGGTCTCACCTTTTGCTTAGGAACGACCGTTGGGGGTTGAGGGTGTGGAGAGAATAATAAGGTGTTGAGTGAAAACAGAGGGCACAAAATGAAGCTGAGAAGTTAGGGTTAAAAAGAAATACAGAGAGAGAATGTGGAAAAAAGCAGAGATGGCGAGAGAGAAATATTAATGGAATTAATGTGTGCCAACATACTATTTGGAAGCTCTTCTATCCTTAATACAAAATACAGGTTTCCCCTTTAGTTCAAATCCTGAAGTACTTATTCAGGCAAAGCTCCCAGTGAAGTTAATGCAGTTATGATTACCATTACTTTTAACAAAGGGACCCCCCCACACACTTAATTCCCACTTTGCTCTGTGATAAACCACATGCATCAGGAGTGCATGTGTTTATAGAGAAGCTGAGTGAAATATACCCCATTGTTTTGGGTCATGGATGAGAACAAGGTAGTTGTTTGAGGCCCACTCCACCAGTTGTTCGTCGTCTGCATCTGGCTCTGAGTAACCCCAGTGAGTGTGTTGGCTGTTGAATTCATCCACATAAACAGCTGTGTGAGTGAGAGTGAGTAAGACTGGCTGTTCCCAGTTCGCACTTGGTGGTTTATAGACATTTGCAACCTGGAAGCCAGCAACCTGAATGACATCACAGTAGTTGGTCAATGACAGTGGGGCAGCATCAGAGATGTCTGAGAGAATATATGTTGCTCGAACATATTTAGCATATGCAGTGTGACACAGCAGATCAAATTCATTGATGGCATCTTTATATATATGTGTGGTCTCTTGTAAATAGACAATGTCAACGCTGTGATGATGAGTGATTTAGCTGATTATGTTGTGCTTGGATGCCAACGTTGAGTTGGAGAACTCTTAAAGCTGGACCAATGACTAGAAAGCCTGGGGATGGCACCACATCAGGGGTGATGGCTGGAAAATGACCAGGATTCAGTGAATTCATTGAATTTGGTCTGGTAGGTTGTATCATTAGCTTCCCCGGGGTTAGCCAGGTACTGAGGGGGGATGTAACGTGAATGTTGAGCCAATGCCCCCCACTACAAAGGGATGATTGTTTGAACTATATGTTCTTGGGGGCAAGAACAGCTTGATTTACTTGGGGTGGTACCACAGTCTAAATAATAAATAGTAATATTAGAGAGCTCATACACTTTCTACAGTTTTTATAAACTAGTTTTGCTACAGCAGATGTCATTTTACAGGAAAAGTAAGTTAAATACTGTACATGACTCCTTCCCATTAGGTAGGGAGAATCGTCCCTGATCCAGGCAAAAGCGTTCTCTCCCTGATTGTTGTTTGTAGTCTCATTTTTGCCTGTTGCCTGGCTACATCTTTTTGAAGGCTCTCCTTCCCTGTTGAGTGACAGAACTTGTCTGTGAAGTCAGCCTAGGGTTTGTGTATAATGTGCGATACTCTAATCCTTCACCCTGTCTCCTTGTGTCTTTTTTTTTTTTTTTACTTTAGAGCAGAAGGGTCCTTAGTGAAAGAATTCACTGTGATTCATCAAAGTTTCCTGCCAGAGCTATCATTTACAGCCATAACCTCAGCTCCTTAAATGTTGTTCCTAGATGCTGTGATAAACGAATAATGTGCAAATCCAGTAATATGTGTTAATGATGAATTTTTGTTACCTTCCATCCTTTAGATAGTTGGTTCTGCCTAAGGAACCCAATTATGGTATAAACATTTTTTTTTTCCTTTTGCCACAACAAAGCACTATTCCAATAGCCCTTTGCAACTCCTTGGCAGTGTAAAGGGACTATGATGCTGACATAAGCAGGCAGTGGAAGTATTCCCCCAGCACAGGAGAATTCCCAAGCCATAGGTATAAAGGGTAGGATGTGGTAGAAGGGGAAGTATCCAGAATGCACTGTACACCGGTGTTTCCTGAACTGATCCCTGGCTTCCTTCAGGTTTGAATGCACAAAGGATGGCTTCAAGCCATCTTTGCCCTTCTTCATTCTACTCCAGCTGTACTGAATGGACCTCTGGCACAGCTGAGGATCTTAGTTACCTGGTTAGCAGATAAACTCAGTGAGAACATCTGTATTATTTAAAAGTTAATTCACGTAATACAAATGGAATGACATTCAGCATTTTATCACACCCTGATGTTTATCCGAACAATCGAAACATGTGTTTTTCCTCAGAGTGATGTTTCCATGGGCTGTAGGATTTTCATATACAGATTAACAGGAATCCCTTATGTATAGGAGGTATACAGTAGGGGAGATTAATGTGGTCTGTTTCATTATTAATACATCAGGTATTTCCAGTGGATTTCACTGCACTTTCATGTCATTCAGCTAAGGTGAGTTCACCTAAGGTAAAGATACTGGAGGGATCAGATGTGACTTCCTGCAAATTTATGGTGCCATCTCCTTAATATCACAAGAACTGGCCCAACTGGTTAAACAGGTTAATAGATGTCTAAGTGTCTGTGAATGAGGCAAAGGGAAATAGATAGACGGACAGTATAATCCAATTAAAACAAAACTATAGAAACCAAACCCCTCTTAACCCTGGATTAAACTCTGTCTCCGGAGAACTAAACGTTCATTGCAAGAACTGAAATATAGCCCCTTACATCATGCATTGCCACAGTCATCAAGATAAAAAAGGGACTCACATGATCTTAATGATCAGTAGCTTATTGTTCAGTTATAGTGGGAAGCCAGTTTAGTTTCTTTCCTTCCCTCCTTTGGTCTAGAAATGCCAGATTAATGGAGAAGCATCAATAATAAAGGCTTTACTTTAAAAAAAATAATCTCTGGAAAATATTTCTAAAATACTTTTACTATGGATGTGGCATCGTCTATGGAAAATACTTGCTGGTGTGGGGTAGTGCACAAAAGATTTATCAACACTCATTTGGGATGAACTGCATGACTCATGCAAAGTCATTTGTGAGCACTGCTGTCCCAAATGTATGTCAATAAAACCTTTATCCTCACCACATCATCATGGATTCCTTCTCACTCTAGTTCTCTTTCTGTCTGTCTTTCATGCTAGTTTGTTTGCATTTCATTTCCTGGTTGTTATTTTTGAAAGGAAAATTGGAGTAAGGTGAAACAGCTAAGAAAACGTGTTAGTATATCTGGAGCCAATCAATTTGAACACTGTATAGGTTGGGTTTATTTTGTCAGTCAGTGGAGTTGTACCAGTTTTCACTAGGGGTTGATTTAAAGACAATAAGATCACAAATATTCCTGTGTTTTCTTTAGGGAGGTTCACTTCTAGTTTTCACCTTGGAAAAGAGACTCCCTTGCCATTTCTTTTATCCACAGTTTTAGAAGCAGTCATTCGTGTGCTAGCACATTCATGTGAACTGAGGTCATGCTTCATAAAATCCTCAATATTTCTAGCATAACACTATACAAAAAAATTGATGATGGTAATAAAAGGGAAATTCTCCAGTCTAAGCACACACTTCTGTGGAGAGGAGAGTTTTGCCAAGGAAACAATGCCAACAAAAAGAACAGACTTTCAGGTTTAAAAAGTCATTTTACAGATTATTTCAACCAAATGACTACAGTGCATTGTAGTGTGTGTATTTCCAGTTGTAGTGAAGCTAGGTTAAGAATGAAATTGTTCTGTGAAAACAGTGACATCAGTTGTAGAGGCTGAGTCTTCTGTAATAATTTACTCTCATTTTGTAACACACACGAGTTGTGCTTTAGCCAACACAGCTAAATTTTCAACCCTGAAATCCTCATTGCTTTGGATGGGCTTGCAATATGCTGAATTAAATAACATTGTAAAAAATGAATATCTTCCTGTAATATGTTCAGCAGTGGTTTACAAATATACCACACAGCATTTTAATACTGTTACTTTATCCTCTGTGATAGCAAAACCACGTTAAATGTCTGAAATTGCCTTTCAATCATAAAACTATAGACATTAGAAAAAAGGAAGGTATTGATTCTAGTTGAAGCTTTGTGTCAGAATTAATTGCCTAGACAGGATAGTATTGATAGAGGTGGAGTAAGCAGATAAAAAGGAATCCAGACTGCCCCTTGCCACCGGCTGTGGCAGCATCCGTGTCTGAAGAACAGCCGCAGTGAGACACCATTAGGACTGCCATCATTTTAAATAAAGCCTAAACATTTTATTGCTTGGATTTCTTCTCTGGTATTCTAGAATCATAGAAGTTAGAGATAACCATTAAATCATCCACTCTTTCTGCCTCCCAGTGTGGGAGTGTTTTCTACAATGTCCCTTCCGGTAGTAAAAGTTCCAAGTGCTGGAGACTATTTCACAACTTTAATATATTCTATTATTTTTCTTCCTAGTCAACCTAAATTTCCCTTTCCCTAACTTAATGAAATTATTCCTAGCTATGTACATTACCCCTTTGGCCCATCCATTGAATTGTCTTTCCTTCTTTGGTGTTTAGACGCCCTTTAGACATTCATAGATTGTTGTTATTGTCCCCCTTAGCAGTAGTTTCTTAGGTTTTTACATCTTTTTTAATAAATCTAGTCAATCACTTGC